CAGAAAGGTGAGAATGTCCGTATTACGGTCTGTGACAGAAGCATAGACTTGAGATAGATTAAAAAGGAGTTGGAGAATTGCAGACTTTTGAGAAATGAATCCATATTGACTACTTTCTGCAATGCATAAAAAAGCCTCCGCAATAGGTTTGAACATGAATCGTTCAAAAATCTTTAACAGATATTGAATAAAGTCACAGGTCCTTATTTTTCTGCAGAATTTTTGCTTCCCCATTTAAAAATAGGAGTAATTATACCATGTTTTTATGCTACGGGGAATTTTTTAAAGCGCTTAGTGTTCTAAAATACAGCAAAAAGTGATTTAGATAAACTGGGCTGGTTGATTTGAGCAATATCGCCGGGAGCTCATCGGGCCTTCGACTCTTGTTTACTTTTAGTTGATAATACTCGTTTCGAATGTCTTCTATACTAAAACTTACTTTTGTATCTCCGAAAATTGTATACTCACTTGGATGGAATGATGCATAGTTTGGATCTTGAACGATCGTACTCAAAGAGTAGTTAAACAAATTAGCTTTTTCGCTATCCGATTTTGCAACAAACAATTTATAACAAATGCTTGGTGGAAATTTATCTCTCTGTAAACTTTTCAGGTACTTGATTATGGTTGCGCCCCTCACTCAGGTTCTCTTTATACACAATTCTATCATTGGTTTGCATTGTTTCACAGTGATCGGTCATGGATTTGAGTTTCTGTAATTGATCTTCTGATGGGTTAAATTCCCGCCTTAGACAAAACTTGTAAGAAGAAACCTTATTGAGGTAGTGCGAGGTTTCTAAATTAACCCAAAAATGTAGATTTTGTCGTATTTGGGTCCTTCGTGGCATATAATGCGAAATGTGGTTAAACATCCATTCGTACCAAGAAGCTACATTAACGTCGACATTACTTTAACGATAGGCTTTGCAAGGAAACTGAATCATAGACGCCTTTAATTCATCATAGTCGCATCGGCGATAACTATAGTAAATACTATTAACTTTAACATATGATGGTAGAACACAGGGTACTTCAAATTTAATTGGATAATGATTAATTTAAATTAATTTCCTTTTTCACATTTAGTATACAAACTTCGTTTTTGGTAAAAAACAAGTCAAGCGTTCCTGTTTTAGCCGTCGCAAAGGAAACTAGTTGTTAAAATTGGCACTTCGCGATCATTGATGCGAATGTGTTTTCATAGGTATTTATGCTGTCGTAAGTAAACCAATCAGTTTTTGGAAGATTAAAATCACCAGCGAGGATAACGTGATGATTCTGAAAAGTTTGTAGAAAATCTAAAAGGATTAGCATATCGTCTTTTGGAATCCGGTATGGACTGTTATCGGCAGATTTGTATATTAATACAAATAGGAATTTGTTCTTGCTCTTGCCCGCTCCTACTTCGACTAGAACTAGTGATGTGCTAAAAGATTCAGGTAGGTTTTTATTTGATAATGTGGAATGTTATATTTGGTTCCAATTAAGACACCACCATGTTTTCCAATTAATCGTTCAGCGCGACAAAAATGAAAAGTGCTCAGGAACAATTCTGCATCAGAGATTTCAGAATTTAACCAGGTTTCCGTTACAATTAAAATATCAAAACCTGAGCGAGTTACAAAATTGGAAAAACTTCCTCTTTTCCTTCTGTTTAGTAGGCTTTGGGCATTAAGTAACAAAACGTCATATTGCAATTTTAGTCAGTTTTTATTGTTCTATTCTCCCTCGGGAAAAATGTATTCTTCGTCGTTAACGTACAATTTGAGATTCTTGATCTTTATGCATTTCCTGCCTATGTTTTTATAACGAATCAATTCCTACCTCTTCTTTAACAAACTTTGCTCTATCTTTCTGTCTGATGCGCTGAAGCATTTCGAAATGTATACCTTGTTTATGAAGGTTCTCAATAAAGGCGCTTTGGCCAGTTTTTTGTCGAACATCCCATGCACTCGGTAGCGTTACAAGGATTGATCTGGCACGACCAGTTTCTCTTTTTATGGAACCAATTTTTTTGCAGTTATCTATTTGGAAGTTTTCGTGTATGTGTTCAAAAATCTCATTAAATTCTTCTTTTTCATACTCCATAATTTTTTAAATTTTTTGTTCTCATCTTTTTTAGGAAAAAGTTCTTTCACGCCGTCAACTTTGATTTGATTTAAATGCACATCTGAATTTTGCGCCTTGATTTCAACTTGTCTACTGTTTTAGCTCTTTAACCTCACGTTTGATTTCAGACAAAGAACCACTTATCTCGTTTTTGTCATGGAGTTGTTGTCTTGCCTCGGGTAGTTGTGAGACCAGCTCTTTTGTCACACAGATGATATAATCTTTCGTCATTTTCTTGAAACGAGTCTCGACCACATCACTGGATGTCTTGACCAGTTCCTCCACGACTAGATAGTAACCATTCCCAGCAGACTCCAGCTTGGATTTGACGATGTCACAATCACTTTCCAGATATACGATTTAAAATTTACCTATTGATCCAGTTTAGTGAAATTGGATTAATGTTATCGAAAAATTGCCACGCCTTAATTGTTTTTGGAAGTTTGAAGAGCTTTAGGGACGTATATATTTTCTTCACGCTTATGACTAGCAAGCGTGATCAAACCGGAATAAAGATATTTTTTTGGTTATCAACTTGTACAACTCAATCACTTGTATCTTGTTTGCTAATGAGTTCAAACTTCTATGCGTGTCAGGCCACTAGTCTGAAGGTGAAGAGAAGAGTACGCTTGGGACGGTAAAGGTCGTGTGATCGAATCTGAGCAGGAACTGGTAATCAGAAGGTAAAAAGTATCATAGTAACCGAGCTTACAGTCAGGAGTCCCTTCATCACGTATTCCAGTCAAAATCCTTGGAATTTTCTAGATAGGGAAGTGACGATGATAAAAGAAGATGATACGTGTATAAAGCCTTTTCAATTAAAATTGATACGGGTTACGTTTCTTCAATAAGAACACGCAACTCGACACGAGAAAATATAATATACACGTGTTACAAATAAAAAATTTCGTCGAAAGTTTTTTTGTCATTTATTGTTCTGAGTACGCAAGCGGCGTTAGCAATCTGTTTTGCCAGGGAGATTCTCTGTTTTACAAAGCTGCCTGCTCTGGGTTCCTCAGTGCATATGCTTAGGTTCTTACAAAGCTTGCTCAAAAAAATTTCTGTGCTGGGGCCGTCCGCGCCCTGAATTTCAATAGCTAGCGGTTGAAAAAGATATCCATCATTTAAAAGATCTTTATACTTGTCAAATTTTCGCTCCAGGGTTACAAACAGACCCGGCATTAATCCTACAGGGGCCTAAGGAGTCTACTTTTGTTGCATTCCACAAAAGCTGCTTATCAGCAGCCCATGGAACGAGCGTCAAACGAGTTGCCGTAGTTCTAAAACAGACGGAATGTGAGTAGAAGATAAACTCTGCTTTATAAGGGCATTCAGGTTTGAATGCCTAGAGAATCTCCATGCAGTTTTGAGGCAAGAAAGACCATGCCAACCATCCTCGGTAACGTCTTTTCCGCACACGCATTTATGCTG